TTTGGTTTTAGTTGATGGCGATATTCTAATTATTGATGTACTACCAATATCTTAAAATAATTTTTGTTTATCCGTTATAAAGAAGTTGTTGTCTCAAAATGTAGATCATATTACAGTTGAAATAAGAAGTCACTTCGATGTTTGGATTATAGCAATTAATGTTCCGCACATTAGCATAAGCCATCGATTCATTTTCAACAAGTTGCCTTAGGGAATCTTGAATGTTTTTCCTCTTATTTCATGGCCGATTGATTGTCAAAATTAATGGTCTCATCACCGTTTGGATTAATCCAAATTACCAAGCATAGAGGTTGAGGCTATAGGCTTCGGCGAATACTAGATCTCCAAGAGAGTAATTCAAGTATTGACTTACTAAGACTATACTTCGATTGATTATTCATCAGCGATAAAATTATATCTTTCAAAGCAATTTATTTGAGGAAAACCATAATGGGCCATAACCGTGTGCACGAAATGACATCCAATCTTCTAATGCAGATTATTCTCAAGGTTAAGGATATACCTTAAGGCATTTAAAAGATTTAAAAGTTAATATGATACCTTATGTACAAGAGAATGGTCGTAGCTATCCAAGTTTTCTTTAATAGATCGAGTTCGAGACAAAGCTCGGAAAGAGAACTTACCCCACGTCCGAACAAACCAAAAAGGATAAGATAAAGTCTTGAGCCTATTGATCGATGCATCATAAAGTCCTATATATGTACAAGTAAGAAGAATTGGACCTATAACAACTCAACTCATCCCATCAAGTGAGGCTAAGTTGATAGCCCAAGTGCGAAAGGCTTCGAGTTGGCTCTTTCAACTTCGAACCAATGATGTATTTACGAATCTATAGTAAATATCACCTCGTCATGAGGTATTTCGCCCTTCTTCATAGTGATTGACCGGATATCAATAAACTTTAGGGAGTCTATTTTCTTAGATCTTGAGGTCTACACCATTCATCTTGAAAACCAAAGTTTAGCTAGTTGGATACAAGGAGTTGATGACCATGACATAAAGTAAAGTCATCGACATTTGTTCCTCCGAAAAATTAGTTGATGCGAGAGATTCCAAAAAGCTATCATTGTAGTCACCGATCTAGCATTTGTGGTATAAGAGTGGGTCGATAGAAGAATGGCCTCGCAAATTTCCATCTCATCCCATTTCTTCCCTAATTACGGGATAAATTTTTTCTTAACCTAGTCTTCTTGTTTGGTATCTAGTTTTGACCAAACAATAGAAAAAACCTTGGTAGATTGAGTATAATTTTGGAGAATTGGGTAGAGTTCGGGTTAAAAGAGTATACCATCATCACAAGTCTATGAAAAGACCGTATCAATCATCTTTACAAGATAAACGACTTTGGTATTGATAAGTAGGACCTAATATCGGATAAGAGCTTTTATGTGGGTTCTTTTTATGCCCAATCACAATGTAAACAATGTCATTATTAGTGATAGTTTAGAAGAGGCATGTGTTAATTGTACTAGGTTGCTAGAAGAGCTCATTTAGTAGTTAGCAATCGCCCTCGAGGATAACATTCACTTGAACGACCTTTTTCTAAGACTTAGTGTTTCCTTTTGGAGCTATTTTTTGCAAATAGAAGAAATGAAAAAGGAATTCAACAAATGGCAGAAGAGATGTTTGATAGATGTCAAAAAGAAAACAAAGGTTTTTTTATCTTGCAAAGTTTAGTAGAAGGAGAAATCTCGGTAAAAGTGAAAATGTTGAAAATTACCTTCTCTTTTATATGATATATTTTAAGTGGTTGTTATTAATAAGCTTTGAGGTTCAATGGTTTAGATATAATGAAATTAAAAACCACTATCTATTGGATAACCGAGGTGTTAAAGTGTTTACGACTAGCTATTTAAGAAATAGAACTTCTAGTGGTTTCATCACGTTTGTCGACATTTAATGCTTTGCCTATTAGAGAAAGAAATTTTCATCATTTTATCTCTAAAGTGGCTAAACAAGAGGCATGTGTTGATCTTATAACTAATCAAGTTTCGATAAAACGAGTGAGATTTAAATGAAAAAATGTGTTTAGTCTTATAACCAACCAAGCTCGACGAAATGACAAGACTTAAATGAAACGATGTGTTTAGTTTTATAATCGACTAAATTCGACAAAGAAACATGTATGAAGAAACGAAATGATAGTTACTAATAACTATTCACACCCAACTTCAAATCTAAAGCAATTATCGATCGTGAGCTATTTAAAGAAGAGAAAATAACAAAATTAAAACACAATCAATATACAAGACTTTTTTAACACAAATTTATTCAAGTTTTCTAGTTTATCATATAATAATTAGCTTTTACATTCTTGCAAGTAGTTCGATAACATTTAGTGCTTTCAATAGTTTTTTTATTGTAGCTTAGAAAGTGTTGATCCATCTTTGATTAGATCAAACTAGTTTTTTTGCTCGCGCTACGTTATGGGTTGGATAAAATATATAAAATCATTTAGAAAAATCATTTCAGTTTGATAATCTCTTTTATGATATGAATCTATAAAAATATATGAAATCAAAGGTAAAAAAATTATTTTAATAAAATTTTTTGTATTTTACTATTTTTTATTTTATTTTTTTTATAATTTTTTCTTCGAAAAAAAGAATTTATCCTTCTTAATCCATGAATTATTAACTAAAAAGAAAATAAAATAATTTTTTAAAAAAAACTTTAGTAATTCATAAGATTGTGTCGAAAACATAAATAACAATTATTAAAAGCTTACATAGAATTGAACAAATAATTTTTTTTATTTAATGTTGATGAGAATATCGATTTTTGAAAAAAAGTGAATTTAATTTTTATATATTTATTTACAAAAGAATGAATAATATTAAAATAAAAAACTATATTAATTTGACTTTCACCTATTAATTAATTAATTTGAGTTTTTTCCTAAAAAAACCTAGAAAAAATTATTTGAAATACATTTTTAATCTAAAAATGTATTTTAGAAAAATTATATATATTAATCATGCTACTATAATTTAAAAGTTATCTAAATCTATTTTTCAAAAGAAAAAATAATCATGTTCTAAAACTTTATTTCAAAATTCATACACATAGAAAAATAAATAAAAATTATCAATAAATACGATTTTAAATTAATTGGATGAGAATTTAAAAAAAATAACAAATTAAAGGAGTGAATTTTTAATAATAAAAATAATTAACAAAAAAAATAAAATAAAATGGGGTCAAATTACGAGTATAATTAAAGTTTAAAATTGAATTAAAGAAAGAGAATTTTTTTTTTAAAAAAAGACTAATTAAGTAGTAAATTTTAAATAATTAAAATAATTAAAAAACACTAAAATAAAATGGGATCAAATCACAATAAAATTAAAGTTCGAAATTGAAAAAAAAGTATAAAAAAATTAAGGACTAAAATGTTACAAAAATATCATGAATAGTGAAAAGAATAATGATTTGTGAGTGTGTGAATAGTGTTTAAAATATTGAATGAATAGTAAAACTATGTTTTACTTTAGTTTTATTGATAATGGCTTCGAGTATTTCGATGGCTAATGATGTAAGTATCATGTTTTTCGATTTATGATATTTACATTTTTTCTAATGAGTTTTGTCTCTTTCGATTGACGACATTCTCTCTATCTCTCGAGTATTATTTCTTCCGATTAATAACATTCCTTTTATTTTATCTTTTTCTTTAAATTAGGTACTCATGGAAAGTTTTAATGGCTTTTTAGGCGAAATCGAACCCCATATTATTTCATCGCGAAGTTCTTTGTCATAAATTGGAGTATCGATCACTTCGATTCGAGACCTAATTCGATGAGCAACAACACCATGTGTTTAATTTTTTAAAAATTTAATGGAAAAATTTGTCATTTTAATTAGAAAAAAATAAATAGACCTCCAAGATACCTTACTTTGTTTCTAAAGCAAAATAATTTCTTTTAAAATGACAAATGTTTTATTTTCAAAGCAAATTTAAATTCAACACGCTTAAAATCAAATATCTTTTGAAAACACATCAATACTGAATAGGAACAAAGACTCAACACAATATGTAAAATCATTAGATGTAATACCTACTTTTTCAATGTGTAAAGGTTTGGAATTAGAACAATGTTAATAGTATATAATGGTTTTACATAATTTATTTATCGAAAAATATGAATTATTATATTCATTATTCACAAAATTCATTTATTTAATACATAAAATACTCATCTAATGGTTAATATTTTTTTCAATAATATATAAATTAGATGAGTATTTTATGTATTAAGTAAATGAATTTTGTGAATAATGAATATAATAATTCATATTTTTCGATAATAAATTATGTAAAATTATTGTGTATCGTTAGCATTACTTTTGGAAGCATACAGGATACACCTTAACATTCAAGGAAAGTTCAAAAGAAAAATATTAGAGGTAATGTGATTGGATATTAAAAAGAATAAACAAATCTAGTAATTAGCCAGTTTTTTCTATATATGAAAAAAATAAAAATAAAAATAAACGAAAGAAAAATACAGGAATATCACAAAAATCTTATGAATAGAAATCCTTTTCTGTTTGATACAGTACATCTGGGCCCAATTTTAGTCCCGTGATAAAAATAATTGAATGCGTGGCGCATCGGCAGGCCCCAGTTAGATAGTTTGACATACAGAACAGAACCAAACCAACCTTTCCATGTACCGAAAGGCACACGATACTTCTCACCCGTTTTATATTTTTAATATTAAAGGGTTTATACTATAAAGCTGTAGCAACAAATAGGTGAAAAAACTTGGCTCCTTATCACTCATCACTCCCTATCTTTTCCTTCGATCTTTTCCCTCTCTCTCTCGAGGGTTTTTTTTTCTTTTCTTTTTTTTTCTTTTTATTTATTTTTTCTTTTTTTAATTTTCTTTTTTTTTCTTTTTAATTCCAAAGCCCTAGCTCTTAATTTTATTTTTGATTGGAAGATGATGCAACAGCAGAGGCTGAAACAACAGGCCATGATGCAGTATCCCCATCCTGCTCTCTTAGCTGCTCCTCAGGTTTTTTCCCCCTTTCGTTTTGATTTCTAGATTTTTCAAGGGATTTTTTTTAAAGATACTTATTTTTTATGTGATCGGTGGTTAAAGCTGTTACTTTTAGTTCATTAACACTGATGTTTTGTTCTATTATTGATCGAGTAATATTATTGCTGTAAAGAAAATGATTAGTACGTGGAAAATGCTAATTGAGATATGCAACTTTATCATATAAATAATTAATTGTTGGGAATTTTTTTAAATGGGTATGTTCTATTATAAAAATTGTCATTTTTTTTTCTTCTTATATAAATTTGAGTGAGCTGAGGAGCTGGTGTTAGTTTGGTCATGATAATAGTGATTGAATTGATACTGATGGATTTACCATTTTTTTTTTTTTTTTTTTATGTTGCACACAAGAAGCATAGAAATTTAGCATTAAAGCTCTCTCTTTGCTATTGATGATTCAAAATTTTAGTTACAAGTGGCCTTTTGGTAATTGTAATAAGAAGTTGAACTCCTGAATTGAAACTTAATTTATTAGGTCTTGCATTCTGCCCGAGGGATGGTGTTTTCGAAACATATATTTTGGAAGTGTTTGTGCGGAGTGTAGGTTTTTAAGATTTAGGGGTTTTGTTTTATTTTTTTATTTTATTTTTATTTTGTGCAGATAGAGCCTATCTTGAGTGGAAATCTGCCTCCTGGCTTTGATTCAAGTGCATGCCGCAGTGTGTGAGTGTTGTAGCTATGTTTTAAAAAAAATTATTTTAATTTTAGTGCACACTCAATTGCTGATGCTTAAGCTGGATGAAATTGTAGCTTTTCTACCTAAAAACAGATGAGAACCACTATTTCCTTTCTACATGTTCGTTTTTGATGTGTAATTCTGTGTGTTGGTGTTACTCTGTGGTCTCCACACACTTGTAGTTCATCCTATGGTTCTGCCTGCACTATGTGACAGGCTTTCTGTTTTTATTTCTTGCCAGATTGCATTTATTTAGTATTTTGATTCTGTATTGGTTATTAATAGGACAATTTTATTTTTTCATGGGAAATTGCAGGTATGTGGGAAACATCCACCCACAAGTTACGGAACCCCTTCTTCAAGAGGTTTTCTCAAACACTGGACCCATTGAAGGATGTAAGCTCATTCGGAAAGATAAGGTTAGGCTTCATTGTTGCATAAGTTCCAGCATAACCTGTTACCAGGCAATATTTGTCCAGCAAAATTTATTCATCATCGTTATTTTTTCTTGTAAATTTTGCTTCACAGCGGCTTCTTTGTTTCTTTTTTTCCTTGATGTTCCTTTGTTTTTTTTTTTTGGGGGGTTTTGATGTGGTGGCATCCTGTTTCTTCGCAGTCATCCTATGCTTTTGTGGATTACTTTGATCGTAGATCTGCTGCTCTTGCCATTGTGACCCTTAATGGAAGGCAACTGTAAGCTGGAAAACGAACTAGTTTGTGATTGGATTTTACTGTTCCTATTTCTTAATATGTTGTTTGGCTGTTTGCAGGTTTGGGCAACCTATTAAAGTTAATTGGGCTTATGCTAGTAGTCAGAGAGAGGATACAACAGGTTTATGCATGCATCAACTATACTATTGTCTTTTAATAATGTTCTTGGTTTAATTGGCCAGGGCGCTGCTTATTATTCCTATAACTAATGTTATATTCCATGTGACATGCAGGTCATTATAATATTTTTGTTGGTGATCTTAGCCCTGAAGTTACTGATGCTACATTGTATGCGTGTTTCTCTGCATATCATAGTTGTTCGTAAGTTCCTTGCTACTCTCATCTTATTTGATGAACAGCTTCTGATCATCTTGGGCTCTAAGTCGAATATGTGACTAATTTGACCTGTATTGGTACTTGGTTACAGAGATGCAAGGGTTATGTGGGACCAGAAGACTGGCCGCTCTAGAGGATTTGGATTTGTTTCTTTCAGGAATCAGCAGGTATCAAATTGGTTTACTTGAATTTTTTGGTTACTTCTAGTTTTGTTATAATTCAATTGGTTTATGTCATAACTTTTATTTGTATGTTTATTTTGTTCAGGAAGCTCAAAATGCGATCAATGACGTAAATGGTATTTATTTCTTTACTGTGATACAGTTGTCTTTATGTTCTTCTTATACAGTTTGTATTTTGTTGAGATATATTGGCCCTACATGCTGCTAGATTAAAGAGTGCTTTTTATGTGCCATTTCTTGGCTTTTTATAAACTATAATTAGCAGAATTACTCTCTCTCTACTTGTACATTCATTGGCATGCCTGTTATTGAGTTCCTGGTTTGCCTACTCTGTTGTCATGAATTACTTTTGGAAAATTGGAATGTGAAGTGCTCCTTAAATGTAGAAAATCATTGTTTGTATGTGAAACTTTTCCCGTTGGATTCATTTCACCACTATGGAGTTGCATGATGATGTTCTGACTTGATGTTGCAGGAAAGTGGCTTGGAAGCAGACAAATTCGGTGTAATTGGGCCACCAAAGGTGCCAATACTAATGAAGACAAGCCAAGTACTGATGCCAAGAGTGTAGATCTAACAAATGGAACCTCAGGTGAGCTATTCTATGAACATGGAATTGAACCTGTGGTTGAATATCAACTTGTAAATTTACAGCTGTAAAGTTCCCCGCATCAGTATTTATATAATTATTTTTTGGTTCCCAAAATTTTTATGCAATTTGCATTTAGTTAGATTGTCTTTTTGTTTTTTGGGCCAGATGAGTTGTCTGTTTTTGCTAAAGCATTACTAATTTGGTCTGGGATTTCCCCTTTCTGTCAGTGTTTCTTGCTAGATCCTTATTCTGATATTGATGTTCAAAGTTATGATCCTTACTTTTTCATCTTCATGTTCTTTTCGCAATTTTTTCCAGCAAAAAAATAAATAAATAAATAAAAAAAAGGTTTTCTGTGTGGTGTGCAGAGTTTGTTGTATTGTATTTTGCATTTGATGGATGATTGAGATGCGTCTGTATCCAAATCTACTATAGAATTCTTTCTTTAGGTTCAGTTTCTTATCTGTTTTATTTATGTTCTTGCTGGAGGTGTTGTATCATATAAGCTTGAAATGCAGTGGTTACATATGCATCTTCTTACCATTTTAGAGCTTAAACGATACTTTTCTTCTATGCAGAAGATGGTCAGGAAAGGAATAACGACGATGCTCCAGAAAACAATCCTCAGTATACCACTGTTTATGTTGGCAATCTTGCTCCTGAGGCAAGGACTTACCTGTGATTTAATTATTATCCTATTGATCTTTTTTGTAGTTGACATGATGCACTTCTGCTATAGATTACCCTTGCCCTCTTCTGTAAAAGAGGAAGGTTAAATTGTAGTGCATGCTCCTGCTTGTTTATCAGATTCTGATAAAATTTCCTAGACTATGTCACATTGCATACCCTTGCTGGGCTTTACTGTATTATGATTGAATACTGTGGTTATGACACTCACCAACCAATGAGTTAAAACTTTTTACAATCTTCATTTTTTATTATCATATTAGAGATTCAGATTTGCTTGGACCAATGGATTGTTCTTGCAATGAGATGGAGTTGTGCAAGTCTGTGTTGGGATCTTAGTGTTCCCTTTGTGTTTCTATACATGATGTCCCTCTGGACAAAAGTTGACCAAAATTCTCTAGGACTTCGTATTCTGATTGCTGTCTCATTGACAAGTCATTTGCAGGTTACTTCTGTTGATCTCCATCGGCATTTCCATGTGCTTGGTGCTGGAACTATTGAAGATGTGCGGGTGCAACGTGACAAAGGTTTTGGGTTTGTGAGATACAGCACCCATGCCGAAGCAGCTGTGGCTATTCAGATGGGAAATGCTCGAATTCTGTATGGAAAACCAATTAAGGTATTCATATGATGGCTTTTATTATTGATGTAGGATTTTTTTTTCCCCCATTTTGTATGTTCGGGATCTTATTTATTGATTAGGTTCTGCTCAAGTAGTTTTCATAACTACAGCATGTGAATATATTTTTTTTCCCCTGTTGCATCTTATGGCAAGGGTTTTTGCTGTCTTGTTTCTTTTTAATTGAATCTTTCTGATATTAGAAAATATCAGATGCGACCAAACATGGTTTAACTGTATGATATTTTTATGTTGCAGTGTTCGTGGGGTAGCAAGCCCACTCCACCAGGGACAAGCTCAACCCCTCTTCCTCCACCAGCTGCTGGACATATGCCAGGTCTTTCAGCTGCTGACCTTGCGGCCTACGAACAGCAGATGACACTGAGCAAATATGGTGTGCCAGCCCTTATGCATCCACAGGGTCATCATGCGCTTAAGCAGGCAGTCATGGGAATGGGCACTGTTGGAACTAGTCAGGCAATCTATGATGGTAGGTTCCAGAATGCTGCAACAACACAGCAGCTAATGTACTACCACTAATATTGTATGGAAACTCCCTTATAGCCTGGCAGGGAGAAATAAGTGGTTTAAAAACATAGAATTGAGTTACTCTGATATTTTACTTCTCTCCTGGGGTGTTTGCTGTATCATGTTAAAATATGTGTATGGATACTCTGTTTTCCTTTTATATTGGAAGATTTTAATCAATTCAGTACAGAAGGTTCCCTTTTATTTCAGGTTGGGCATAGGGGCCATGGGGAATTTTGCTTTGAGCATTGTTGGTTTAAGTGGGTTTCCTGTTAATAATGTACCTTTGTTGATGCATCTCTTGAGTGGAGAGGCTTGTATTGTATCCTAGGTGGATTCGTCTGACGAAGCTCATCTCTTTTGGTTCTGGTTTCCTGCGGGTCGAGGATGGATCAACTTTTGGTGTTGTTTTTCTGTGGATCAGCATTGAGCTGCTTAATTTCGCATTATCGCTTTCCAAAGTCTCAAATAATTGCAGAGGTGCCGAACTTGGCACATCAATCTCGGAATCTGTCGCTAACCAGTGACACTGGACAGGGATTGATACAGACTTCTGTCTGTTCACCATCTGGCCTCATTGAAGCTCTATAATGGATTGTCCTTAAAAGTAATGATAAGATGGCAAAATGGATCGTCTCCTTACAGTAATGGTGAGATGGCCTCGTTGAAGTTCTAAAATGGATCGTCCTGTATGTATTGGGAAGATTCTTCTTGCTGTTTTATTGCAGGGGAACCAGTTAAAAAATCTCTATTCTCCACCGACTATAAACTAGTTGCTCTGTCAAGGTAACATCCGGCAGTTGAGATTTGGGATTTACCCTTAAAAATTTTGAGATTTCTACTTGGACCAAAAAAAAAAAAAAAAAATTGTTGCCTTTTGCAAAGAAGTTAGCTTGACGAATACTTACTGATTAGTTTATCGTGTAAGTTATAAATTAATTCCTATTGTTTTAAGAAAGAAATAATTAGTACTTCTGGTTTAACAAAATTAACCATTTAAGATTTCATTTTATCAATAGTTTAGGTTTTTTTTTTAATCAGTTTTTTGTTAGTACTTTTTATTTTCAAATTATATTTTTTTTATGTTTTATTTTTCTCCTTTTACCTATTTTTTCCCTCTCTTTTCAACCATCTTCATAGCTAAAGATCAACAGACTAAAGATACTATATAAAAACCTTGGTATTTTCTCTCAAAGTTGTGTTGATATGTCAAGAAGACAACACCACCTAAACTTAAATAAAATTGATTTGTACAATTTAGATACTTTTAGTTTATTGAAGTTATTTATAATGTCTTCCTGCTGCAAACGAAAAATAAAAAATTGGATTATAGGTTACTAGATTAAACGATAATGATTCTTTTTCGTCATGGATCTATGTTTTGCAATAAAAGGATTTAACGGAAGTAAAGCTGAAGTATAATTTCACGGCACACAACTTTCTTATTGTAGTGAAGACGGCAGTTTTCATAAGCAAAAGAATAAAGTATTTTATATATTATATATTAATTTGATAGCAATAAATAATTAATTTGTTTTTCGAAATTAAAGAGATTAATTTATAATTTACTTAGTTTATCCCCTTCTTCTTCTTCTTTTCACATGAATCAGTCATAATATCATTCATCATTTAAGATGCAAAATTCGTTTTTCCAAAAATTCTCAACACCACATAAACTGTAGCCGGCTACAAATTCGACCAAAAAAGTTGTTTTTTTTTTTTTTTTAGCTCTATCTTTTATTCAACATTGAGCTGATAAAATTGTCATATGTATAGAGTATTGGCGTGCAAAATTGTAAAGGTCAGGATTGACATGTTTATCCTAGATTGCAAGAATCCCAGTTGAGAAGATGGGGCTTGTTGTATAAGGCGAGCTTGAAACATCTGCAGATCTTGCAACTTCTGGTCTGCATTGTTCTTTGCGCTCGTCTATCATTATTTGACTCGACCGACACTCCACACTGCAGAATGCTTTCTCTCCCCTGTAAACATGTAAAAAAAAACACAACTGTTACTTTGATGCTTCAATTGCAGTCTTGAAAAGAGTCTATATATATATATATAAACAAATGAATCTACGTTAAGAATATAGATGCCAACAATATCTGAAGAAAACTTCAAAGAGCTAGAAGAAAATTTGTTTTACCTGTACATGTAAATGTCTTTGCCATGGAGTTTTTTCCTGCACAAATGACATGAACTGAGAAAATCTGAAGTGGGATATACTGAAACATCTTTGACAACTTTGGCCGGCAATTCCTTAGTCACCGAAATAAAACCCATGTTCTCACATCTTCTATCATATTTCTGATGCCCTCTTTTTCCATATTCACCTCCATCATAGTACACCTTTGTAAAGGATTGATTAGGGCCATGGATTGTGACATATGTATAGTCCTCCAAGCTCTCCATCTCCATTTCCTCAAAACCACAGTTAAACCTCTTACAAGTTTTGCCAGAATTAACTGGAATTGGATTTGATCTATTCAAATTCGAACTACAAATTGCATACTTAGGCAAAACTTCATGCCCCCCTCAGAAGACTTATCAAGGGCTGCAACAATACCCAATCCAACCCCACCAAGATCATAATAATTCTTTAGGCCTCTTGGTGATTGAATTTTGTAGTCCAACGGACTTCTTGGACTGGTGTTAGCATCCATCAACCTTGCACGGTTGCCCGACACCAACAATTCCGACAATCTTCCGATCATCAGATTTGTTCTTTTGCCTAACATCATTCGAACGAAGTGGGAGATATTGGGGTGGTTTAATATAAAGAAAAAGGAAAAGAAAAATGAAACAAATGATTTGATTTGATATCTCACACAACGCAAGGCAAGCCAAGGGGTAGGCTTAGGCTATTAGCTCTCTTTCTATGTAGTTTTCTTAAAGAGTATTATGGAGTGGGTGGAGTTGGCCCATGGTTTTTTGGAACTGCATATTATTTAACAATGAAAAGGACTGATTCTTATAAGTTTACTCTGAAAACAAATAATTAATAATACTATTACTCCTACTCAAGTCTTAAATAGGGCCCACTACTTGTCAGGCGGGACCCATTAATAGTACGTCGACATCTAACGATTGAGACTTCGTATTGGGATGTGGCCCACCAATGACCTCGAAAAAGATTCCAAATGAATTTAGCACCGTTTAGGTTTTTGGTACGTGTCGAAATATGGTACAATGTGGAGTGAGTAATTATTAGCAACACCACCGATGGCCCCCCCACTGACTTGAAGCCCCACGTTTTTGGCATCACAGAGTGGGTTTTCTTTTCCTTTTTGTCCGCTTCGAATTTGCAATACCTTCTCTCTCTCCCGTCCTTCTCTACTAATGAAAATTCTGCGGATTTTTATTTTTATTTTTTAGCACGACAGAGTTATTAGCATATTTGAAAAATAAAAATATCTTCTTATTGATCGGTAGGATTTTTTGTTCAATGAGTAAATTATAAATTAGTCTTTTTCTTATTGGCAAAATTAATATTTAATATTTTAATTCATTGACCATACTTAATATTAATTTATTTTAAAAAAATCATTTTTTATTAATTTATTCATTTTTTATTTTCTGAAAATAAAAAATAAAAATAAATTGTAAAAGAAAACGAAAAAAATAAGTTAAGAAAAAAATTTTAAATATCAAATATAAAAAAATAGTTTTAAAATAAAAAAATAATAATTAATTTGTTTATTAAAATTAAATAGACTAATTTATTATTTTTTGAATACTTAGAGGGTTGGATTTCGCCAAAACCATGAGCTCTACGGCATCCATGAATATACGGTGTGGTGGTGGCATCTTCTAATAGAAATGAGCAATCAAGATCACAATAATTTATTTTTGACCAGAGAATAAAGATCTTGCACCTTTTTAATCCACTAATCGGAGAAAAAAAAGCATAATCTTTTATGATAAAAAAAGAGAGGATGTTTAGAGATATTAAGGTAGCCATACAAGTACCAATTTGTATCTTACGCCTTTTTAATCCACCAATTGAAGAAAAAAGCATCATCTTTTATGATTAAAAAAAAAAAAAAAAGAGGATGTTTAGAGATGTAGCCATACCAGTATCAATTTGTTTTAATTATATAAAAAAGTTGCAATTTGTTTTATTGAAAATTTTATTTTAATAGTTTAACGGTATTTTTTGCTCTCGAATTATTGAAAATGTGGCCTATTGAGGTCTGAATTATCAATTTTGTTTATTTTATCTTTAAATTATTATGTTTTGAAAAAATTGCTGTTGTTTAGCTTGATTTGATCATTATCATTAATCAAAAACCTCTTTAAAAATATTCAAATTATGGTACTTTTGAGTTAAAATTTTTCACATAACAAGAATTAATTTAATTTCAAAAACTTTTTAGGTTATATGAAGAGTCTTAAAAATCACATTTTTGTTTTCTTAGTCTTGGTATGATTATCAAAATATTTATATGGTCCAATGTGTAACACATGACCAAATAAAATAAGTTAATTTTACGAATCACAAATGCCAACATTTTGAGAGCCATACCAAAATTACCTATATAAATTCATATGACCGCGTTGGGTTGGTATTCTAAAAAGAATTTGAGATAGTTTCCACTTATTTTCTATTTTTTTATAATTTATTGAATTTTTATTATTCATAAAATAAAATAAAACCTTTCCAACTTAAAACAAAATTGAAATTATTTGTAGAAGTTAATTGAATTTACATTAGTATTTATGAAACAATGCCATTTAAAATATCAAAATATGATTTTTTTTTTTTAAAAAAAGATTTTTGATCAATTCTAACTATCAAATAAAAAAAAAGAGACAATATTTGTTAGCATCTAAATTCGTACCCCATTTATTTTTGAATTTAAACAAAAAAAAATAAAAAATAAAAAGGGATAACGAGAAAAAAGAGGAGAAAGGAAAAAAAAAAAAAAAAGAAAAGAAGATAAATAGAAAATATTGGAAAAAAAGATAAATAGAAAAGATTGGATTTGAGTCCAATTAAAAAATATAAGAGATTAGGGGGAAAAAAAATCAAATGGAGGCTTAATTGAAAGAAATTTTAATTGAGATTTGTTTAGAGAGAAAATACGGAGATAAGATTTGGAATTGAGAAAAGAGAAGAAAGGGAAGGCCAAATTGGATTTTTACTTAAAACCCTAAGAAACTCAACTATGAAAACCTCTCTTCTTCTCTCTAAAAAAAAAAGGCTATCATTTTTCTCACACAAAAAACCTTGAAACATCCATCTTCTCCAAAATGACCAAAACTCTTTAAGGTCATCCATCATCATCCTCCAAACTAATAACCTAAAACACAACACCCAACTTCTAAAACCTTCATAGCTACCGACCACAACTTAAAAAAACCTCTATAGTCGTTGAACATAGCTCCCCAAAACCCATAAACTCGTCAACCATAGCTTCCAAAAACCTTGAACTCGTTGACCATAGCTTCTCAAACCTCAAACTCGTCGATCATCTACGCTACAACTCCAAGCTCCCTAGCTCCAAACAGACTCCTATTATTAACGGTCATAACTCCAAACAGACCTTAAACCCGTTGGCTAAGTAGCTTCGTAACAACCACTAAACACCTCTTCCATAGCCTAAAACCCACCAGCCATAGCTCGCAACAAACCCATAAAAATTGCTAACCATAATAGCTCAAAACTCGTCCGTCAAAGGCCCTTTATTGATGCTAGCTATCCTAGAATAGCCCCGAAACCATCTCTATCAAAATTTCACCAAATCTTAAAACTCGAAATCATCTCAAAAGTTCAAATTTTAATTAAGGCAAGATAGTGATGATTTCGATCAATAGTTAGTGGATCTCGGTCCAAAATACCATTTAAATATTTAATCCATATTTGATGGAGCAAGAAAGGAAGAAAAAGAAAGGAGAATCTCAACTTGTTGGTGTTAACCTTACCTCTTCGGCTAATAACATTGTTTTGTCTTCATCCGAGGGTTAAAAAAGGTTGCACTATCTTTTCCTTTCTCTTTGAAGCTTATTGGAGTGATCGGTAATGATTTTGGCGACTTTTGAAACCAAATTACCTCTAATGGTAAATTCATCATTTGGCCTAAAAAGGCCGTTTTTACATTTTTAGAAGGCTAGTTTAGTCAATCTAACTAATTAGATGAGTTTTTTATATTTTTATATTTTTTTTACATTTAATTAAATTTAAATACATATGGATAAATATTGTGAATGGATGTGATGTTTATGGATTAAATGTGAGATTTAAAGTGTGATTGAGATATGTCATTGTGTATTGAATCCAAAAAGGGTATGAGATCTTGGATATTTTACGGAGTAATAAGGTTGGTGTTAATACTCTACGATGAAGTTAGGAGGATTGGGTATGGGTTTTAATTCCAATTATTTATCTAGAATGAGTGTTGGTCTCGATGTGTGCAATTGAGTATGCTTTTAGCTTGTGATTTAATTGATTTTAATGCTATGTTTATGTTGAATTACTTATGTGATGTGGCTGCTGAATGTTGTATTCATGATGTTTTGTTTGTGTGATTTATCTTAATTAAATATGTTGTGTGCGGAATGCGACCAATTGGTCGGGGTTAGCTCCAAAAGTTAATGCCTTATTTGTGATGCGTTAAATTGTAATGTGTGAATGCAACGAATTTGTCGGAGTTATCTTTGAAAATTGATGATGCATTTATATTGAATTGAATATGGTGTGTGAGGAACATGTTGATTTTATCAAAGCTAGCTCCGAGAGCTAACGGTATGCTTATGTATAATTAAATATGATGTGCCAATTGAATTTGTTATGAGCTTGAAACCCTTAATGGCTTGTTAAATTTTATGGTATAAGCTTGAAGCCATTAGTGGCTCTCTAAATTTTGTGTTATGGGCTTGAAGCCATTAGTGGAGCGCTAAATTTTGTATTGTGGGCTCAACGACATTAGTGGATCACTAAATTTTGTGTTATGGGTTCGAAGCCATTGATGGCTTGTCAAATTTCGTATTATGACTCAAAGCCATTAGTGGCTTGCCAAATTTTCATATTGTGGGCTTAAAGTCTTTAATAGTTTGCCAAATCTTCATGTTGTGGGCTTGAAGTCATTAGTAGCTCACCAAATATTTATGTTGTGGGCTTCAAACCATTAGTGGCTCACTTATTCCGTGTTATGGGCTCAAAGCCATTAATGGCTCACCATCTTAAACACCTCTTTCTTTTATTTTAGAGCATGGAAGCATGCATTTGACTAGCCTAAGTCCTAAATCACTTGATTGACCCATCTCAATAAGATAAGTACACTTAAATAAGTATAGATTCATAGCATAGTAAGACTAGACATTTACTTTCTACATGCATGCAATACAACTTACCTCGGATAGGATGTGGTAGTAGTGATTTCGATCTTTTCTACACATAATTAACTCTTTACCTAGTTTTTTACATAGAGCGAGTCATTTTAAGTTTCCTAGTTCTCTAATACTAGATGGTGACTCCTTTCTTATTTCTTACCCATTCGAATCGGCTACCGAGACCTTTCTTCGACATCTTGTTCATGATAATATTTTTTCAAAATGATAGTTAATGGAAAAAATTGATAATACGGACTTCATTGTACCATTATCCTAATACTTCATGGATAAAAAATGTCATATTTTCACTATAACATTAACATATTTTTAAAAGACACAAGAAAGGAATTTCATTTATGTCCCCAAGACAAGAGAATGAAAGAAATTGAGCAAGATAAAGATATTGTTGTTGTTTAATATTAAAAATGAAATTGAGATTCTATTAACAAAGATTGAAAAAATATTTTGTTTCCCTTTTCTTGCAATTAAATTTGGATAATTTTTTTTTCATTTCACCTTATGATTATATATCAAATTAAATTTGAATAAATAAGTAATTAATTTGAGACAACTATTAGTTAAAAAAATGCTCAAGCTTAGCTAATAACCTATAAAAATACGAAAAGAGGAATTATTTCATATTGAGAAAGAAGAACTTAAAATCATGTTGCATAAGTATTGCTTTTGATTATAGATTATATTTATTCTCTTATATTTATTTTTGTGAAAGTAGTTTTAGATTATTTATACTTGAATAAAACTTATTTTGTGTTTTGGTAGAATATTGGAGGCAAATTGAGAAAAATGTGCTAAATTGGGTGAAATTCCAATACTAACAGATTGACCTTTAGAAGAAGGTATGAGAATTTTACATCCTTAGAGCTTCAAAACATGAAAGACTTATTGAAGTTTAAAGTGCACATCTTGAACTTTTCAAGTTGGGTTTAAATGCATAAATACAATATGTTTTGGGTTATTAAAATTGGTTGTAAAGTTAGAAAAAGGAATTCAAATCCTGTTGCAACTTGAAATACTGATCAAGATTTGGACCATATCTAGAGTTCTACATACCGTATTGAAGTAGTTCAAAAGCCTACAAAAAGAAGAGCTCTAAGTCTACAAATTTATGAAGAGTCTAAGTCCAAAACTCTTTTCTTTCTAATCCAAAATTAGTTTGGAAAATTCAGCATAGAATTTGGTGTCTTATCCAAGAGTGATATTTAGGAGTAAAGTCTACAAGATAGACTTATTAGTTGTCAAACCCATCTTTTTACATGTATAAATATCCTTTAAGACTACTTTATAGAGATTACACATTCAAAAACACATTAGGTTAAAAGAACTTCTTTATTTTTCTACATTTTTATTCTTAAAGATACAAGGATAAATTTCTTTTTTGATTTAAGAGAAAATTGAATTTTAAAGAATAAGCTATGGGAATCTTATTTTGATTTTATAATCTATTTATTTTTACTATATTTTATTCTTTAGATTTAGTTGAATAATATTTTTGTTCTTAATTGCTTATGAGGGCTACTACATAATTTTGATCAATGAATAATTTTTAGATTAGAGTTTATAATATGCAAAGGTAATAAAAATTATTCATAAGTAGTAATAGAGTTTAGTAATTTATACCGTTGATATCATTATAAGCGTAAAAGAAAGGAGTATATATAATACCGACCAAACTTGTGTGTTGATTATACATTTCAATTGGTTTTTAGTTCATTAATTTTTTTATTGGATTACATGTAGAAAGCTTGTTCTATGTGGTTCAATAATAAAGATTTAATTAACATGATTATTATGTTTGATGATTAAGTAAGAAAAATAGAGTTGATGTATGTTTTTAGGTTAATTTAGATCGAATGGTAAATCATGAGTAGTGTTTTAAGTGTCGTCAATGATCAGCTTGTAGATCGAAGATAATGTTTATTCTTGAATCGGATCCTTTTCTATTGATTGTTTTTTCAATTTCTTGTCTTCATACTTTGAATTAAACTACAAAATCCCCTTCATTTAGTCATCCAAATTTTAATGCATAAACATAACTAAGAGAAGCAATTTAAATAAGTCTTTGTGGGATCAACCTAGGCTTATTGTTAGCTATAATAGTTAAGTTTATTTAATTAATTTTATAGTGTTATGGCACACTACCAAAATTTAGTGCCATTGTCATGGACTATTATCCATTGCTTTTCCGAGTTTATTTATGTCTTTATTCCTTTGTGTTACTAATTATTTTTAATTTTATTGGTTTAGTTTTTTTTTATTTTTGACAAAATCATGATAAATGTTATCGAAGCATTTGGTAATGGATTTGGATTTTTTTGAGAAATTAAGTGATGAGCTTATATCCGTTATGAAGCAAATGATGTTTGAAACCGAATCGAGTAGCTTTAACCTTACTTTCTCAAGGCCAAACTTCATCATCTAATAAGATTTTTGACCATTTTAGTGTTTTCGATTATAATTTTTTTTATATGGTTCATGATCGACTTTCTACCTCCAGTGAATTAAAATTTGATCTAGAAATCAAAAGAACCCTTACAGAGTTGAAAAACGAGGGTAGACAAAATTCGGGAGATTCTAACAAAGCATTAGTTTCTTCACCAAGAATTAACATAACCTTAGATTTAATTTCGAGTTCATCTATTGATTCCGAAATAGATTTTATGATGGCTAATCTAGCTAATCAAAATAATAACAATCATACTCTTATAGATTTGGTCGCTCCTAATCTTAAGCTTCGACTTTTATATATTGAATATCCTATTATTAATGTTGCTTTTGAACTTAAGACTAGTTTTAATCTATCTTTTGCTTACTTTTTATGATTTAGCGAGTTAAAGATCCTCATAAGTATCTTAAATTTCATGTAGTCCGCTTCTAGCATAAAGCCGGTTAGGATAATCAAGGATTATATTAACTAAGGGCCTTTGCTTTCTTTTTGGCAAACAATATTAAGGATTGGCTTTACTACTTGCTTTTTGGATAAATTAACACTTGGAATGAGATGAAAAAACTCTTTGTGAAAAATTATTTTTTATTCTTTAGAGTTGTAAATATCTAGAAGGAGATATGTAGGATTAGACAAGTATAATAAGAAGAAATTATATAAGTATTAGAAATGCTTTAAGAAGTTGTGTGCTAGCTATCATCATATTTTGATTACAAAACAGACTTCGATCCAATGCTTTTATAAGAGACTCCTTTCACAAGATATGAGCATGATATATAACATTTAGTGATACTTTGGTAGGTAAGATACCAAAATTAGTTAGAAATTTAATCTCCAACATGGTCGCCAACTTTCAACAATTCAAGCATTTGACATGACCTTCCACCAAAGAAGATCAATGAACTCAATACTTCCAGACTTGAGTAGTAGATAGTTATGTTAGTCTATTTGGTGAGACATATGATAGTAGGTGGTACTCAACAAATAATAGTATGTGGTATTTATTTAGTTATAGGGCATGTCACCGATATGTGTCCTACTTTTCAAGAGGAACCTATAGAGTAAACTAATGTTGTTAGTAGTTTTTTGAGCTAGTCGTAAAGGAGGTATGCTCCCTACTCCAACACCTACAATTCTAGGTGGATAGATAATCTAAATATGAGATATGAAAATCAAGGTGCATAACAATAACAAAATCCTTTTCAACCACATTCCAAAGGGAACAACAAGCTCTAACTTTAAGTTATAATTCTTTATCGGTGTATATTCTCCATAAGTCATTTTTCTTTAGCACTAATAGTGCGGGTAAGACATAAGGATTAACACTTTCCTTGAGTAATTCTTTATCCGTAAATTTGATCACTTGATGTTGTAACTTTTCATGCTCACTTAGACTCATTCGATATGTAGGCTGTATGAGGTATGATTAAACTCGAAATAAGATTAATATTATGTTGAATATCTCTCATAGGTGGTAATCTTTTTTAAATTTCATTTGGCACCATATTGCCATATTGTTGAAGTAATGACTCCTCTTCTTTTGGAATCTTTCTTTACCATTCATTTTCTTCCACAACCACTAATGAATAAGCCATTTCCCTTTGTCCTAATGCTTTCATAAATATAGAATAAAAAAAATCTCTTCTTAGCCATTTTTAGGCTTGGTAGAATGTTCCCCTCTCAAAAGCATGAGCACAACGCTCTCTCTTTTTAAGTTAAATTAGTAAGTATTGTTTTATCCATCATGAACCACTCACCCATCAAATTTTTATAAACATCCCAATAGGATATAACATGCATCCATAGGAAATACATCGTACCATATCTCATGTGGATAAATTTTCCTTATGGAGAATTAAACTAGATATCTTTTTATCACCTTGATGTCGTAACCTTTCCTTAGCCATGTAAGCTTGTATAGATTTAGATGGTCAATACTAGGTAAATTGAGTTTGTACACCATCTTTAAAGATGATTTATTCTCCTAACTATTTCTATCAATAATGAGTTCACAAACCTTCCCACGTGATATACAATAGGTGTGAACAATGTTGTGTTAAAGCCATTCTTACTCCATCACAATCTCGGTTTTAAAAGCTCTACATGTTAGTGTAGGTACTTAAGATCTAACCTATTTGAATGGTTTGGTGTACTACATCATTGTATTGTTAATATTAATGAAGAATTCTTTCTATTAATTCTTATTATTGATAATTTGATAGAATTAAATAGAAGTCTATATGATATGTATTGCATTAATAATTGATCAATAAATATGAGACAAACATCAATGCACTTAAATGATATCATTAAATATTTCAAGTCATAGTATTGTCAAGATTGGACATTGATAATATAGGATAAGACTTGCGAGTGCTATGTAGTAGGAGATCTCACACTTATTGGCATGGTACTAAAGCAAGCACTCATGTGAATAATATTAGAGAACATATCATTAGACTTGACTGGCAATGAGAACCTATTTGGCTTGGTCTATAATAATCTCATACAAGATGGGTATAAATAGTCTTTTGACTTGAAGTCATCACATTATCTCATTAGAAAATTGGTGTACTTTGACATTCGTTTTGATGGGCTCAAAAAGAGCTACATGTGGGTGATTTGTTGGGTGCATTATGAATCTAATAGAGATACGTGGATAACTAAGATAGGACAAGTCATTCCTTATATACTAAAGGAGTTATCATATTGTACTTCGATTAATATTTACTCATAAATCT